GCAAGGGGCTTTTGCCAAAGTACTTTATCGTCAATAATACAAAGAGCCCTAAACAACATAAATAACTGGTGTAGGGATAACAGTTTATCAGTTAATTCTGATAAAACTGTTATAATACCCTTTACCAAAAAGAGACGGTTGGACAAATTAGTCCAACCAAAACTTAATGGCAAAGAAGTACCATTTTACACGGAAGTTAAGTACTTGGGCATAACAATCAACCAAAAACTAACGTGGAACTCTCACCTTAGCACCGTATGCCATAAGGCAAAAATTGCTTTAGGTACGTGTAGTCATTTGGTCGGGAACAACTGGGGCTTGCATCCCAGTATGATCCTATGTCTGAACAGTAGCATAGCGAGGCCGATTCTCACCTACGCCTCTATTGTCTGATGTAACAAGGCCAACCAAAAGACGACTGCGAACAGACTAAATAGTCTCCAGTTGCCATTAGGCAGGAGTGCCTGCCTAATGGCAACTGGAGCTATGCGAGCGGCTCTTAATGCACTTCTATGCCTAACGCCCCTTGATCTCTATCTAGACAAGGAGACGAGGGCTAGTTTGTATAGAATTAACGCCAGGGCGGTCTGAGCTTGCTCTCCTACAGATTGAGATCCATGCTCGACTCAATTAAGGAATCACCGGTTTTATGCATGATCTCAGATATCATGCGTCCACTATACACTTTTGATAAAAAGTATATAGTGGAATTACCCTCCAGAGAAGACTGGCTGAATGGCCAGGTTATCTGTGAGGTCGGTAGCCTCATATGGTATACCGATGGGTCTAAAATGGGCCTCGACGTAGGCTTTGGAATTTACGGGGAACGCCCCAAATTCAAACTTAGTATGAATTTGGGTAGATACACCTCTATCTTCCAGGCAGAAATTTTCGCCATACTTCGGTGTGCGGAAATCAATCTGCAAAAACACTACGTCAACCATAAAATTTACATAAACTCTGATAGTCAAGCAGCACTGCTAGCGCTGAGATCAAACTTAGTGAACTCAAAGCTAGTTGGAGACTGCGTGAACCGTTTAAACGCCCTGGGTTGTAACAACAGGGTCGTTTTAAGATGGGTTCCGGGTCACGAGGGTATTGTAGGCAACGAATTTGCCGACAAACTTGCACGGGAGGGCTCAAGGTGCACATAATTTGGACCCGAGCCATTTTGTGGAATCTCAAGAAGCCTAGCCCGATTGACCCATGAAACTCTTTATCACAATAAATCACTTAAGATCTGGTCTGACACAACAGGCTTAAAACATTCTAAAACCTTCATCCGGGCTCTTTTGATCGTAAATTCGCTTCAGAAGCCCTGCTTAGAAGATTAAGTAAAAATAAATTGCGCATTCTGGCAAGAGCCCTAACTGGGCACTGTTGTCTTAAAAAGCACATGTCCATCCTGGGACTAAGCAACTCAAGGATGTGTCGGTTCTGTTCCATAACGGAAGAAACGCTCTACACATCCTAACCGATTGCGGACCCTTAATGCGCAAACGTAACACTCATCTGGGACACTATCTACTCCGCCCAGAAGAAGTGAAATTGCTCACGGCTAAGCAACTCCTTCGATCATTGAAGACATAGGGCTTAGCAGTGAACTATAGCCATAACAGCGATCACAATAGATCTTCTAGGTCGCAGTGATACTGGTCTCTTTACCTAGACCTGCATAGCTGCTCGCACATAATAAAAAAAATGGGGGATTTTAATATACCCGACGTTCACTGGTTTCAGATGGTAATTTTGTTGAAATAAACTCAAATAATTTTAGGAACAAAAACCAAAAGCGACATAATTTTTTCAAAAGTAATTTTTTTTAGTATTTTTTTTTTAATTTTGAATTAAAATCAGTTGAATGGTATAATATCCAGTTGAACAAATATCCAGTATAGTTATGTATTAGTAAATATTAGTAATATTAGTATAGTATGGATTGTATAGAAGTATTGTCCATAATCGTGAAATTTTATGGTACAATAAAATAATGATTAATAAAATAGTATACAATATGTAAAAATAAATAGAAATAAAATAAAAGTTGACCTTAATAAATAAGTAATGGAGAGATATTAGAACGTCCATCACTGGTGATAATAAAATCGGAAGTAGGTAACGTGTACTAGGGAACAATACCTTCAGTACAAGTGATGTAAACAATTTTACTCATATTAGTACTGTTGGGGACCAAAGAAGTCTTAAATTTGTTACCCTTAATAATGGAACATTGAGGTCACATCCTTGATTACTGTGGTGCTGCAATTAGTGGTGACGGGATTAATGCACGCAGTTGAGGGAAGGCGATAGGTGCTCTTCAAACTAGGTCAGACACATCATTTTATTTTATTGAGCGGATGTGTGTGAATTAATTCTCAACAACTTTAATATAATGGATTTCCGCAAAGTAACGCCTGATTCTATTAATTTTTTTGCTTTTTTTTGATGAAATTCAGCTATATAAAACAAATTGTGTTAGACTTCAGCTTTGATCGTATTATAGTTTTTTTTCCATCCTATAAACACAAGAATAGAACCATTTATTTGTTTACTGTGTTCTATTTTTTGTAGTGGTAGTTGTAGTTGTAGTGTTGTAGTAGTTGATTCGTGAGGTGGCAGTCCTGGGTCTACAGTAGTAAGCGTGCGGCGCACTCGAGCATTCTTTAATAATTGGTCGCGTAATGTACGACGTGGATCTATCTTACAGCTAAGGGGCGCGCACTAATAGATAGTGATGTGTTGTTTTGGTTGCCTGTTCGCGTATCTTTAGCCGGCAGTTTAAACGGCGACCGACGCGCTCAGCGTAAACTATGTCTTGTTCCATTTGAGATACTCAGATTTTAGAGGCAACGATCAACACAATATGCATTGTTGTTTCACCTGAAAATTCTGGTATTCCGACTATTTCGACATCATTTAGCAGGGCTTCTTGGTCTTTATAAGTTATTGGCTGCTGTAACTCCTTAACAATACTTTCCATATGCATTTAGTTAAGCAGTTTAACGAGATTCAATTTCTTTGCGAATGCATATGTTTTCATTTTCGAGTGCCTGGACTTTTTCAGTAAGAGTATTGACCTCATGCTTTAAGTTACATACTTTTTGTGTTAAAGTTTCAGTTATTTGTTTGAAATCACTTTCTAAATTCTTTAAAACGTCACGAAATTCTTACTTGATTTCTGTGGCTAGACAAACATGTGCGCTTTTGAGCTTGGGGTATAATTTTTGATCCAGCAATTTATCAATTTCTTTAAGGGAAAATTAAAATGTATTCATTATAGGCACTCCAGGATGCTCGATATTCGGGGATAACTGTTCGTTACATGTCGACTAAATGTAATATAAATAATACACAGGACATGTCGACTAAATCGGAGGGGGACGATTCTTCACGATTTATTTTTATTGGTGTGTCAACATTTCTGCGTCGTCTTTCAGAGAAATTTGTACAAATAGTGCACTTCCATGTTCGCTTGAGTTGTTGGAAATTGCCCATAAATTTTGTGCTTTTGTAATATTCAAACATCTGCAATGATAAGTTCTTTTACACGTAACGAATTCCAATAATTTTTCCCTCTCTATAGAATACATACTAAGCATTTCATTTTTACAGCTTATCAAAAGAACTTAACAAATAAACAAACTATTACTTATGCAAGTCACAAAAGTAAAGTAAAATGATACGTTTGATTCACAACAGCGTTTGCTATCAAATCCACTGTTTTGCAAAATGATCACCGTTGTCCTTATTTGACTCACACTTTGTAATGTTTGTCTTTAAAAATAACTTTACTTAAAATATAATGTCCACAGTTTCACTTCTATAATTTCACATGCATAACATTTAAGTTGAAATATAAACTTTAAAAACAATAATAATTTTTTAAACCGCAGCTAACGTTATATTATGATATTAACACAGCGATGCGCGCGCGCTGTCCACCTTTTTTATAACTTTTATAATATTATAACGTTCATTACTTTTAATTAATACGTATTTAATTATGTTATTAATTAAAAGTTATAAAAAGTCTTTTGTGACGACTCATCGTCACAGTAAAGGAAATGCTCCTGAAATGAAGTAAAAATATATTTTGAAACGAAAGTCGAAACCACCAGTTTTTTTATAGCATCGAGTGACAAACGAGCACACAGTCCACCTGATGGTAAGTGGATGCTGTAGCCCATAGACATCCACATTTATCCTCAATTAAGAAACAAAATGCAAATGCGTTGTAAACCGTGAGGACTAAGATGGAATGCTTCGCTTCCAGTTACAAGGGTTTTCTACACTCATCATACGAAAAACAGCAGCATTATGCTGCTATTTCCGCTGGTATTCTGTGAGAGCGTGATCTTACCCCGGTCGAGCCGACCTATTCATGCTACAACTATATTATAGCCACAGCGTGGCTCTACCACGAAAAACGTTTTAGAGGAAAATCCACCGAGTTGGCAACATTAGACAACACCAAGTATCAGCACGCGCCGATCGCGCCGTATTATATGACATCATCAGCATGCGTCCTTCAACCTACCTATCGCGTTTGATAAAAAGCGGCGCGTGCGAGGTTTCATATGAAATTTAATCCAACGCATTCTAAAATGCGACGCGTACGCGTGCTGACAAATGTGCGTTCAGCTTTTTGCGTTTCGTTTTGATTCTTTGGTTATGTCTGGATGTGTGATGTGTGATAGTTATGTACTCGGGTTTATCGATAAGATATGATATATTGATAACATAACGTTATTAGTTAGGTTTTAATATATAAGTCTCATGACTACAGTGAACATTCTTATGGTATTATTTCAGCCAAGTAGAAGTGTGAAACTGAAGAATCGAGTTGTCAATTTTATATACAATTTTTAACAAATAAATTATTGTAGAATGTAATCTCTCCTTCTCGGTTATTATTAAAATTCATTTAAGATTTTAAGCCTACGAGGTTAAAATACTTGGCTAGCCTACGTTTGGTGTCCCATAAGTTACAAAGTGCAATCATGGATTCAAAAGTTGTTTTAAAGGACAAAAATCCCCATGACAACGCTAATATTTTTTCGAAAATATTTTTATGGTAAGTAAAATAATACTCGTTATTTTATAAATATCCGTTATTTTTTTTAATATCAACGAAAAATTGAGTTTAATTGTGTTAAGATTTCGCACAAGTGCAGGGTAATTGAATCAATTTAAGGAAAAAAACTCTTCATTTTTTAAAAAAAATCTGATTGTAATATATAAGCGATCACTGAAAATTGGAAGTAAACAAAAGGTATACTAGAAAAAAAATATTGTGTAAAAATAAATCATTATCATAATCATAAATCACAATCAATATTATAATTTAATTTCATTCATTATTTAAAAAATATCTTAAATTCAAATGAAATAAAAATAAAAATGAATAAATCATTTATAATATTTATTAAATTATTATTGATATCAATATCTAGTACAGTCTTTTTAATTTTAGATGGTTGAGTTATATATAGCACAGTAGAATATTCCTCGTATACCTTGTAAAGACGAGATATTGAGTAGTGTGACTCAAGGTTTGTGCTGCAATTAGGTACTGCTATGGAATAGTGTAAGCTTAGAGCCTATTAGGGATCTCAAATGCATTTTAAGTTAGGATAGTTTAAGTTTCCTATAGTTAATTTATGCAGGAAAACCAAGTCAAGCAACCTTCTGCGAGTCTCGGGGTTGACATCTTGAAGTTAACACGCCTTTTTATATGAACTCAGTTTTTTAGACATGCTACGTCTGAAAGCTAGATGTTCAACAAATTATTTTTTTTTGTATCCTTTCGATACAATCGTTGTGATTTTTGTAAATCGGTGTCCAAACTATAGTACAATATTCAAGATGACTTCTGACTAGAGAGTTGAAAAGTATCTTCTTAATGTTCTCCTGAAGATTTTGGATTCTCTTAATACAAAACTAAGCATCTGGGATGCTTTAGAAACTAAAAGATCAATATGATTAGCAAAATGGTTGGACATATTATATGTAGCCGGTTCGTAAAAATTTAATGATATCATGTTTATCTATCGTCACTTAAAATAATAAGGATGAAATATTTATAAAGGCCCTTTATTTGGTCTTTGTCGCTGACCCCTCTCGATAAAATGTACAAAAAGACGTCGAATTCACCTGTCGTGTCCACATATATTTTGTGTGTGTAGTACATAAACGGTGTTGTTAAATGTCTAAGTGAATTGGAAATACTCAAGTATATTATACTTACTTTTAAGTATGATATACTTGAAATAAATATAATATATAATAGAATAATCCCGAATCGGAATTCCGAAACGGAATCCCGAAACGCAATTCCGAATGTATGTGGCCAGGTTTAAAGTTGGCTTAAAACTTTACCGGCACTTTTAAATCCGGCAGACTTTAGGTCAGCCACATACATACGGAATTCCGTTTCGAAAAACCGTTTTGGAATATCGGAGGTAGGGTAGAGAGGAGAGTAGAGGGTAGAGAGGTAGGGTAGTGTAGGTAGGTATATATATCGTTTGGAATATATAACCTACCTACTTAAACATAAAATTTACTAACTTGTCAACACCTACCGGGTTGAGAGTTTGTAATTTTCTTTTTTATTATTAAATCTACATATTATATTGTGATTATGATGTGATTTAGGGCATGTCCTCTGTATCGACGATTAGCACTGCTTCAGGTCCTGTTTAATAATTCGCAGGACTGTCTTAGCGAAAACTTTTTCACGCGTTACTATTTTTTTCTTAAAGGGTTACGGCCTGTCTGGTGTTGGGTCCTGACTTTACGGGGTCACCCCAAACTTTTATAGACTTTAACAGAGGAATTGATGCTGTTGACCTGTCAATAATGTCATACACAAACAAAAGGTATAGATACCGAGCTTTTTAAACCGTACTCAAAATCACAACTTCTTACAGCTCGATTTTTTTTCGGATTTTTCCATAGTCGCCTTTTACGATTCGCACAGAATGTGATGAGTTGATGGATATCTAACTGCAGCGTCACAACATACTACAGCGTGATAGCATAGTAATGATGGTGACAAGGGAGTCGCCAGCCAATGGCCCAGGGAGGGGGCCAAGTTCAGGGTTATTTTGATATACAAAACTCGGTTAAGTCCTCCGTTTGTCGATCTCACAGAGGAGGTTCAGAATTAGTAGAGGAGGTTCAGTATATAGGTGAATTGTGAAAAATTGTGATACAAATCGCACACACAGGAAAGCGCGTACACGCAGTTGTTGCCCAGCACACAGTCCATCTGATGGCGGTGGATGCTGTGGCCCATAGACTTCTACATTTATCCTCGATTAAGGATCATAACGCAGATGCGTTGTCTGTCATCCCTGAGGACTAAGATGGAATGCCTTCTTTTCAGTAGAAAAGGGTCTCCGGATTTCTACTCTCACCATACGAAACTGCAGTATTAAGCTGCTATTCAATGCTGGTATTCTGTAAGAATCCTTATCCGTGGTCCTATTATTCCATATACCCATCCTCTATACCGGTATATTCTTTGAAAAATATCCTTGTATAGAGAATGGGAAAGTGTAGGTATGTACAAGAGCACATGAAGCTTCACACTTCTATTGAGATTCTTGGCGATAAAACGGTACAAATTCCAATGTTTAAAGCTCCAAGAGTCAGTAATAAGTAGTAACTATTACGCAAAACATAATATTATATAAATAAGAGCAAATCAACCTAGGCAACTCTACAGTTGGACTCGCCAATAATAATATTTAACGGTACGACTAAAATATTTATCAGCATTAACGACTTTGACCTCTTTACAGTCAATGAGTGCTACTTATCTTGACCGAAATCGTACGGAAATAAAATCAGAATATCAATACAATATGACCTATATCTAAAACCTAGATTTATTTTAAAGCTTGATAAATATTATTTAATCGAATAAACGAGGATATCTACAGTAAAACCGGAGTAACCGGCATAGCCCAAGGGATTAGTACTTAAGCTGAAGTGGCAATGGGCCGGCCATATACATAGTTCGAAGAAGCAACTACCGAAAACTATGGGGAAGAAAGGTTCTCGAGTGGCAGTGACAGGTACCGGTAGGCGAAGTGTGGGGCGGCCATCCTCTAGATGGAGTGACGAAAGTGCATGCAGTTGGCTCCGGATCGTGATTTGTGTATTCATTTGGGGGGTCCTGTCAAGTATAAAAAAGAGCTTTCGATTTAAATTCCTTATTTAACATTTAAAGGTTTTTTTTACAAAATATACTGTTACGACACTGACGACTGACACTACATGACGTCAATTTAGGCGCGCAACAATACCATCGTCCCTCTATTACAGCTTACAAAAGTCCAGTGTTTAACATAGATCTCCCCCATACATTGCCACATAGTTGGTATTTAGTTTTACTGCAATTTATTATTATTATTATTGAGATGTTTGCAATAGATGGGTGTAAGGCAGTGTTGCCAGACATTTTGAATGAACGATCGTATGATGGGTAAATAAAAAGTGGTATTCCCTAAGAAGGTCATTAAATGAAAATAGTACGTACATTTTATTAAATTATACAAAAATTGAAAATTAAAAACACAAAATTATTAGTCTTTATCGCGTATAGCATATATTGTATTAGTATATATAGATACGCAGCAGCTTTTGCTGGCGCACGGATGGGCCGGTTCAAACTGGGGTGGTACCAAGACCTCACAGAATACCAGCGTGGAGTAGAGATTTCTGCGTTTCACTTGGTGAGTGCAGGTGGTCGGAGACCCAATTGACCCCCTTAAAATGGTAGCGGAATTAAGTGAATAACTACCCAGGAGGCTACCACCACACCTGGTGACGGAGAATCCCTCATTAAGCATCCACGACCAAGTTATCCTACTCTTCCTGAGCTGCCTGCTCGGCGTATTCTGCACTAAGGCTACCCCTGCCACGCTATCTGTTAATTTTTGCAAGATAAGGGGACGTCATTCCAACCTTAACGCTGTCCACTACCATCTGTAGACGACGAAGCCGGCATTGTTCTTTTTAACCAAGAGTCAGGTGTCCTCTCCAACTGATACTTCATATTTCTCCTACCGGGGTACAAATTAGAACATTCCTTTGTGCCCGGGGCTGGAGTTTGCGTATACGTCAGAGAAGACAGCTGTTTTTGACGCCTCGGCAGTCTTGAACGTACAGAACTGTCAATCCTATTGCTGCGCGTAGACAGCGACGACCATCCGCACCTCTATAGGTCCCATAGCTGTAATAAAGAAACAAACCAACTCATCGACCACGATGGCTACACATTCCGTGCTATAACAGATCCCAACCGCAGATATCGTGATCCTTGGTGATTTTAACGCCCACCATGCCAAATGGCTCGGTGCACGTTTATCCGATCATGCATGAAGATATGTTTATGGCTTTGCTTTGGTCTGACACAACTGGTTACTTCGCCTACGCGGATTCCAGATGTGGAAGATCATTCACCTGCCCCGTTGGACCTTCTGCTGACATCTCATTCGGACGGATATCAGGTTTCCGTCGACGCCCCTTTAGGCACGTCGGACCATTGTCTTGTCCGGAGTGTGGTGCCAGTCACATTAACATCGCAGTTGCATTCTGCAGGCTGCCACCATGCTTGGCACTATAGGTCAGCTGATTGGGATGGGATGCGGTCTTTTTTTGCGATCCTTGGGGGGTTTACTTCTCACCGAACGACTCTAGCTTTGCTGTATCATTGCTGATTCTGTCGCTGATGTGGTACTTCAGTGTATGGAATTGAGGTGCCCATCGGAGGCAGATCCCAGCCATGGTTTGGTTGCTCCTGTAAAATAGCGTCATGCTATAAGTAAGAGTGCTACCGGGCCTGGGCTGATGTATCAACGTCTCGGGATTTAAACACCAGCGCTCTTAAAAAAAAGTATAATTCCGCCTCCAGGTCCTTCAAAAGAGTCATTGCCAAGGCAAGATCTGAGCACAAAAATCCCTTCCTTTGGGAACCCGTGCATTTTAGTCTCTCGCCAAGGCTGTCCAAGAGAACTTCTGGCAGTCATTTCTTCCATCTCTGCACAGAGAGGACGACAAACTGGC